GTGTGGGGTAAACATTTTCACCAGAAGGGAATTACATTGTTTTTTCCAACTGTGTTACACAATTAAATTTCACTTAAAAATTGGAGTTTTGGAAATAAATTCTTAGTAGCTGAAGGAGCGGTAAATTTTTGAGCTTCCGTATATTGATTAAAGCTGTGACTGAATTACTGGCTGAAGTTGGGCATGTCACCTGTTCCTCTGCTGGCTGTGGTTTTTCTTAAAGCTGAAACTTGCCCTATGAAGATGTTTAGGGCTTAATGCCTTAAGTCCCTCAACAGATGTTGAGAGGTTTTGATTGGAAGCATAATTAAGGTTTCATTAGCAATGTGGACAGTGGGAGTGTATTAACTCTTGCCATCATACTTGGGGGGAGTGGTCAGTAAGCCAAAGGGTAGGTCTTAACAGTAGATAGAAAGATCATGACAGGTTGGACGGATGGTCTGATGGTAACCTTAGGAAGTTTAATCAAGTCATGTACCTGGACTAGAGTAACCTTGCCCCTTCATGCAGGCTGGGAGTGAGCTTTGCAGAAAAAGAACCATGGGATCGTGGTGGACAACCAGGACAAGCAAGTTGAACATTAGGGAGCAGTGTGTCTGTAGTGTTGAAAGTTTGGGCGATATTAGAAGAGGTTTAGAGAGAATGTTGGGACAAGTGATTATTTACCTGTATTTGGAACTGATGAGGCCGCATCTGGAATACAGTGTGGAGTATTGCCTGGCTCCCCGTACAAGAAAGGCATAGTCATAGTGGAGTAGATTGAGTACAGGACCGCTGTGTTACTTAGGGGCTGGAACATATGATGTGTGAGGACAGTTGAGAGCTGAGTTTCTTCAGTCTGGAGGAGAAAAGGCCAAGGGATGGATCCAATTGCTCTTTCCACCATGTAATAGGAGGGTATAGAAAAGGTGTAACTATACTCTTCCCAGAGATGTGTAACGAACGGTTAAGAGTCAAAGAACACAATTTGCACTGATGGGAGTTCTGTTTGCATTATGAACGTGGTCAGGCATGACCTCGTTTCTCAGAGGCGATGGAGTCATCGTCCTTCAGGTGTTTAAAACTTTACAAGGATTTGAACAGCCAGAGCCATCTTTGGTGTTGGGTATCATGTTGACTGAACTTTTTAATAGAGGTTTGGACTGGATAAGCTCTGGAGGACTCTTCCAACATGAATCATTCTATGATTTTGTAGTTTGTGAATTCTGACTTGACTTAAACATTATCTATGTGCTTGTATCAAGATTTGACTTGTGTCAAGATTGACTTGTATCTAGCCTCGTATGCTTAAAATAAGAGATGGAAGCACCAGGTCACATGTAAGGTAGGCGTTGTCTTCTGTAGGATTTTTGCAGGTCAGTGTGTCTGGGTCCCATTTTTAGGTGCTCAAGTCTGTTCACTAATCTAGCCTGAGATGTTAGTACCCTAGTACTCATATGTAGTTTTGTCCCTCTTCTGTTTTTCCAGGGCAGCTGTTTTATTTTTGTAATCTCTTGTTTTGGAGAAAACAAGTAATATTTTCTTTTCTGTAAAGTTTGGTGTGATAACACAAATTTCATTAAAATATTTCTGATTTATATAACTAATGTGTACCTAGGTAAACACACAGCTGAGATTACTGCTAGGTAGTTGTGTGTGTTGGTCCTATAGATGTGAAGTTTAAATTGAATTTGTGCGTAACACCTGATAGGAATTGATTGTACTTGCCTGTATGCCATGTCACTTGTGCTTTTTTTCTGTACCTTCCTAGTATTTTTAAAATGCTAAAAGTTGTTACTTTTAAATGAAATTTTTAACTGAACAGGTACTCATTTTAATTAAGTCTATCACTGATAATTTTGGTTGAAAACCTGAGTTTCACTGAGTCAGTGAAATCACTGAAGTGGCTTGAACTTTAGCTGGTCTGCTAACCAGTTGCTGCCTTAGAACATAAGGATGTACTTAACTCAAAGGTATCTCATATAAGGTCTGAAGTGTTGAGGACCTCTGTCATTTTGGCAGCATTTCAGTCCTGTATTACATCTTACTGGTAAGAATGTTTTTTGTGTGCTTTTAAAATAGCTTTGTATTGTGTGTAACTTGTGAATGAGTGGTCATCAGCTATGAAAATCCTCTTGTGAATCCTTTTTACTGATGTTAGCTGGACTATTAAACTATGCGGAACTTGTTCAGCTCTTAACTGAGCGTATCAGTTGCTGAGCGCACTGGTTCGGCGTGCTGTGTAGCGCTGCCTCCTTTGCATTTATGACACCATTTGACAGATTCCTTTTTGGCTTTTTCAAAGCAAAATCGGGTACTCAAGAGAAGGGGTTGTGTAAAGCATTTTGGCTGTGTATCTCGCTAAGTAATGAATACCTCATTTCTGTTGCTTTGTGTTTGTTTCCACTGAGTCGTAGTGTTGCAAATATCCTTTTCTGATAAAGAAGGAAAAAGGATGATGCAAATAACTGTGAGCAGAATGTAATTTACTACATTTGTTTGCAAATGGTATCGTGTGCTGCTTACAATGCAAAACATGAGGTTGTGTAGTCATTTTATCTTCATCTTTGCTATACCAGGTAGTATAATTAGAGGCCAGTGGATGTGACTACAGAGATACAGAATAACGATAATATTTGTGGTTTCTTGTGAAGGGAATTCTTTAGATAATATCATAAAATTAGCCTGATTGGAAAGGTGGGGGAAGTTCGGGATGGATGGTATGTGTTTGAAAGGGCTTAATGGCTCTTGAAGTTGTTAAAAGTATGGAAAGCTTTTTGTGCGAGTTAGATGCAGGTTTGAGGTAATTCTGTAACTTGTTTTTTTCTAGTAGATGTGCCATTATCTGCAAAATTGATACTTCTAGCTTTGCTTTGTAATATCCAGTTTGAGCACTATTTTTATGTTTATATGAAGTAAAATCTAATTGGCAACAACTTTGAGCTTTTTTCCCCAATAATTTAGTTTACTATGGACTGTAAAGCTGAGGATGTGTGTACCTTGTACACAGAATGTCCAATTGGGAGAGAAAAAAGGGCTCAAGGCACTTTGTAAATTATCTGAAGTGGCTGTTAAAAAAAAAAAAAAAAAGGAACTGTGGCACCAAAGTCCAAGACTTGTGTGTGGTAACATCAGACTTGATAGCAAAAGATGGGTGCATAGAGAAAGCTGTTACGCAAATGTAGAGTTCCCTAGTAAATGAGGAATGATCAAAAATCATGGTAGTATCTCACAGTTGAACTAGAGGGGGTAGTTGTACAGTGTTAGTATTTATATTGTCCATGCAAAACCTCAATTTGACTGTTTAAGAAATAATCTTGTCTAGCAAATCTTTCTAAACCTGGAGTCTCATTAGTGTGTTATTCCATGTCAGAACAGATCATTTGGAGACTTGTAATTAGAACGTAGCATAGTAATCAAACCCAAGAGCTGTTTAAATTCTGTCATTTCTCAGTTGACTTAACTTAGCCAGGTGCTTTCTCTCTGCCTTTTGTTTAAAGAAAAACTGCATCAATTTACTGTTCAGCCTCTTACAGAACCACGCTGCTCTCTTTGTGTAGTGTTAGTATCCCCTGAATTAAAGGCCATTAAACCTGAATTAAGACAGTAAAAGTAGAATAAAAAATGAACCAGATATGTCAAACTTTGCATTAAAGTAAGAGTGGGAGACACAGTTCAGAAGTCACAACTGACTGTGTAATAGTGGGGATTCCTAGCACTTTATGAAGGTCACTGTAGCAGAGAAGTAGTATGAAGTTTAGATTATCTGGAGGAAAGTCCTAAATTTTACTTTTAGCCATCTTCCTCATTGCATGTTTTTATCTCTTCTGTTAGAGCAAGCTGTGTATGCTGAAAATGTGTCTAGATGGAGTGAATAGCAGAAGGAATGATTAATTAACCTCTTTTTGCCCTGGTAGCAGACTCTTAAACCAGAACTAGAATATCGTGACTCTGCAGGCTTGGTGGGTACTAGTGTGTCAGAGACCTAGTGACTGACTGCTCAGGATCAGTCATGGCAGAATTCTCTACTTCTTTTTGGATGAAGGTTGCTATGATTTTCACATGCAGTTACTAAGGGATTTGTGGGGAAGTCATTTTTAGCATAAAGGGCAAGATAATTTTTCAGGTCTGTGTAGGACAACTGAGTAGTACAGGAGAGGAAGTCAGAAGTCCTCTAAAGCGTTGACATAGATTACTCCTATTTTACCTGCAAGCTTGCTCACTGGAGATGATGTTCTCTTATTTTGAAGTAGGTCTCCAAATATTTAAGAACCTCTAAACTTTCTGTGGATTATTTTCTTCCCTTAGCTCACATCCTGTGTAACTGGATACACTTTAAAATAAAGGTCAATGTATCTTTGAACTTAAAATCTCATGTGTGCATGCTATTGTCTTTTAGGGATGGTAAAAATGAAGATGTTATTTTACAGATGACTAAGTAAGATTTGTTAAGAGAATCCTGTGAGAGGTTTTCTTGGATGAAAGTGGGATTTGCCTTCTTGTTTCCTTTGGCAGATGGTCTGCATTCCACTGTTGTCACTCTTCTGATGCTTTACAGGAATGTGGAAGTAGCACAGTACATGCAAAGCTAGTGAGACCCGTCAGTTCTTATTAATGAAATAGTAACTTTTTTCATGCCACAATGAAACTGATAAGAGAATAGAAGTTATATGGTGGTTATTTTTCCAGTGTCAAATAGTTTCTGCAGGGAATGACTAAATTGTCAGGGCTGCAATGGTATGTGAACTAGTCTGCCTTCATATCGACAACGTTTAATTTTCATGAAGTAGCTCTTTAAAAGACACCACCACCCCCCACCCCCAAAAAAAAAATGCAAACAGGGGTCTCTAAGTTCACATTTCATTCATGTAATGTGTTAATTACCCCCCCCCCGTTATAGTTGACTTGGAACATGTGCATGCTTTATCACTATTTTATAAAAAAGAAACACAGGAAAGGGAGAACAAAGCTTCTATGGAGTGGGGTTTTATAAATAAGACTTTTCTTCTCTGTTTTGCAGATTCAATATTGCATAAACATGGGTGCATTTTTGGATAAACCAAAAACTGAAAAACATAATGCTCATGGTGCAGGGAATGGCTTGCGTTACGGCCTCAGCAGTATGCAGGGATGGAGAGTGGAAATGGAAGATGCTCACACAGCTGTTGTAGGTATTCCCCATGGCCTAGAGGACTGGTCCTTTTTTGCTGTCTATGATGGTCACGCAGGATCTCGTGTTGCAAATTATTGCTCCACACACTTATTAGAACACATCACTAACAACGAAGACTTTAGGGCAACAGAAAAACCTGGATCTGCTCTTGAACCTTCAGTGGAAAATGTCAAGAGTGGAATCAGAACTGGCTTTTTGAAAATTGATGAGTATATGCGCAATTTCTCAGACCTCAGAAACGGGATGGACAGAAGTGGCTCGACAGCAGTGGGAGTTATGATTTCACCTGAGCATGTATACTTTATCAACTGTGGTGATTCACGTGCTGTTCTCTATAGGAATGGACAGGTGTGTTTTTCAACACAGGATCACAAACCTTGCAACCCAAGGGAGAAAGAGCGAATCCAGAATGCAGGAGGCAGTGTAATGATTCAGCGTGTCAATGGTTCGTTGGCAGTTTCTCGAGCTCTGGGGGACTATGACTACAAATGTGTTGACGGTAAAGGCCCTACAGAACAACTTGTTTCTCCAGAGCCTGAGGTTTGTGAAATTTTAAGGGCAGAAGAAGATGAGTTTATCATCTTGGCCTGTGATGGAATCTGGGATGTAATGAGCAATGAAGAGCTCTGTGAATTTGTTAAGTCTAGACTTGAAGTATCAGATGACCTGGAAAAAGTGTGCAATTGGGTAGTGGACACTTGTTTACATAAGGTATGTAACTGTTTTCTCCAGGCAGCTGCTCTGAAATGATCTTCTGTTTAGATGTGTACAGTGTTAACAGCAGTTCTTGGCCTACCCTTCCCCTTCTCTCTCTTCCTTCTGTCAAACTTCTGCACCCATTTGACTCTGTATAGTCCTTGCCGAAGAATACACAGCCTCATCCTTTGTGCCTGGAGAGGTGATAGCAATTGCAAAAATAAAGGTTTGTTATTTTCTCAAATAATGTTTGCCTATAGTTCCAGGTCTAAACTTTGTTTCCAAATACAAAATTTTTGAAATTTATTAGTTCTGTGAAAATTATTTTGGTTTTTGGTTTTGTTCTTTCAAGTTGTGCAGTGTTTGTATGTATCCTTTGCATAAAACCAGTGTTTGCACCATCTCCTCTTCAAGGTATGGTCTGTCTGTCATCTCAAGTGGTGTCCTCAGATCATTGTTGTAGCTTAGGTGGAGAAGCACTACTTTTAAATCTGAGCTTTCTTGCACTCCTCAAATTTAGAGTTTGTTTGAAGCAACTACAGGTCGGTCTGTAAATGTTTCCTAAGTACACCATTTCCAGCATTCCCTGAAAAGTGCAACTCCTCCTAGCGCAAGGAGTTCCTTCATTAAGACACAGGCCAAATATGCGATTTTGAGGAAAATATTAAAATTCAGAATTCTAATATTAAAATATAAGGAGGATGATTTTTATTTTGGAAATAGGGTTGTATTCCAGCAGGTACCATATGTTGTATGATTGGTTTAAATGCCATGGCTTTTCTGACCGAGCACTTGACCAGCCTTGTTGAAGGGTGGTCACTCTAGCATATTTGCAGTAAAACTGAGCCCTGACCTCATGTGTATTTTATAAAGTGAGATCCTGGATCTCTGCATTTTGTAACACTATTAAAATGTTGCCCTCCATCTTCAGGATGTGAATTGTACCATGTAATATTAACTGCTGTAAAAGGTAGATGTCCCCATATGCTTGGTATGAAAGAGAACATAGAATAACTCGAGTATTTCTGAAGAAATTTGTTCCAATGTTAGTTTCCTGCTTAACTTCTTCAGGAAGTTGTTGTGATAGGTGATAGGAACTATCCAACAGGTTGGGTTTACACAGGAACAATATGCAGTGACTAATGACATGTAACTTTTTTGAGGGTTGAAGTTTAATTTCTTGATTTCAAACCAGGAGTTTAAATTATGGTTCTGCTGGATCTCCTTGTAAGAGACTTAGACACTGTGTTTTCAAATTTGGCTGGGGATTATAATTTTAAAAATTAAATAAGAGCAGCGAAGTGGTATCAGATCTTACTAGTGAAGAACTGTCATTTAAATTAGTGTGTGAAAAAGCTGTTGGCTTATCTTGCTGAGCACATGATGCCTGTAAGGTCAGCTTGGCCAAGCTGACCTTAATTAATATTTTTACTTAACTTTCTTCAAGGTGCTATGTGTGACACAGGCCCATTCTGATAAACAGACTTGCAGGGAATGTTGTGTCTTGCGTGTATGCTCTCAACCTGAAATAAATGAGTAGCTGGAGCTAGCTATTCTGGTTGTCTAGGATAAGTAGCCTGCGTTTCATGTTGCAGTGTGAGTTTAACTTGGTTTAAGGTAACATTAAGTGAATGATTTCTGATATGTTTTCTTGATGGTATTTTTAAACGATTGAGATGTAAATATATCCATTAATATATTTTAGACCTTAGATGTACAACAAAAATCAGTTTATGTTTCCCCAACTAAACTACTCACTAAAAGGTTCTCATTAATCAAAATATGGTTTTATTGCAAGGTCTGTTTTTTTTTTCTCAGGCATGTCTGTATTTGGAACAGGTAAAAATGTGACTAGAATAGGAAAAGAAAAAAAGGTCTAAAGATCCTAACTCTTCTTTTTTCCTTTGTTATATAGGGGAGTCGTGATAACATGAGTATTGTACTAGTTTGTTTTGCAAATGCTCCTAAGGTCTCAGATGAGGCAGTGAAAAAAGACGCTGAGTTGGATAAGTACTTGGAATCACGGGTTGAAGGTAAGAAAATCCATTTTATTCACTAGAAATGCTGTCATAACCTTCTTGAGAATGAAAACAAAAATCCAGAAAAGCCATCATGGCACTACATGTTGAGTCAACCTCAGGCCTAGTTACAACTCTGAATTTTTGTGTGTCAGGAAAAATGTTTTAAGCCATGTGGTTAGTTTATCTGCAGCTTCCTCAAGCACTTTCTTAATTTGAGCTTTAGGTTTTTACTTTTGCCTTTATAGGTTAAAATGTAACCGCTGACCTTGCAGAGTGTATCAGCGAAGTAAATTGTGACATTGTAATGTCTTGCTTATAAAATATTAAAAGGGACTGGTGATACTGGTTCCCTTTCTTGTGAAAGTTTTTGACGACAAGAAAAAGGGCTGGGCTGTTCTGGGCTTTCATCAGGGGACAAATTATTAATCTAGTTATCCAAGCCTTTTTATCTTCTATGTAACATATCTGTGAGTTATTTATTTCCCAACTTTTTAAATGTACTTTTGCAAAAATTGAACAGTGTGTAAGTGATCAAAATACCTATGAACGCAAGAGCTTTGGATTCTGAATGCTTACTGTGTGTGTGTGCGTGTGAATAAAAACCATATAAGCATCTAGAAATTTTACAGATGACTAAACTTACTTCCTAACCAGTTTCATTTAGTCAGTGATTTTATAACTCTTCACTTCTCCAAAAGGTTGAATGCAACTTCTTCCCTTAAGCAGAACCAGTTAAAGGAAAGTTAGCTTGAGTAAGAATGAAAGAATCACCCTTGCATGTTTATTCCTTTTCTGCAGCACTCCCAGTGTCAGAACAAGTGACATTTGAAGCAGGCTTCAAGCTGTTTCTTATAATCTAAAGTCTTCTATCACTGGTTAAGGCTGTTCTAAGGTCTGACAACACCTATGTGTAGTGGCCTTTTGGTTTCTTCGATCTTCTCAACTATTCTAGGGATCCAGGTATAGCTCAGTTTTGGTAAAATTGACTGAAGTTCAGGGTTTATTGGAAGTTTGCCCCTTTTTTTATAAAATTGTTCTTATGCTGGCACAGGTTTTTGCAGAAGCAACCCAGTCATGAAAATAACTGAGTTCTTGCAACAGTCTGTCTTGCTGTTACAAATGTTGCTAGGATAATACTGTGAAGTAGCATCATGGGAGAGAAGCAATCATCAGAGGTTTTTAAAGCCTTGTTATGATTCTTTAAACTTCTGTAATCTCATCAGAAGAGTAGTGAAGCACTCTCACCCACTTAGGGCTTATTAACCCTTTTGTAGGAGCTATCAGTTACAGCAGCAATGTTCAAGGAAGGAAAGAAGAGAAAGCTGGCTGAGAATTTGTACCCTCCCTTCCTTGTCTTCTTTCAGACCTGGACACAGAATATGGTGTTTGCTAGATCCAGATTTAACTGTGCTTCATCAAGAGGTGGTCCCTTTGTAGTTCTGAGAAACATTCCTGGAGTTAGCATTTGAAGTGCCCATTAGTGTGCTCTAATCTCAACTGAAACTACCAACGTGCAAGCCATTTTTTTGTGTTTGTGTTATGTCAGTGTCCCAGTAATCTAGATAGGTGATGTAACAAACCTTAATTTGTAAATATATGTAAGGAGGCCTTCAGGCCACGAGACAAGTTATCTCTGAATGTGCTGGTGTTGTGTGTGGTGTCTTTTCCTCTTGCTTAAATGGGGTCCAAATTGAAATGGCTTACATTTGTAGTTTCTGTTGAGACTAGACTGCTAATGGTCACTTCAAATGCTAACTCTAGGCATGTTTCTCAGAACTTGGCTTACATCCCAGGCTTCCTAGATGGCACTAGTTAAGATAAATACCTGTTACCTTCCTGTGTCTGAGTAGAGTACATGAGCTGGTAATAGGCTCTGGGAGGGAACCAGCAGCAGTTACCTTCACTGTGCACACCTGATTGCTGTCAGTGGTTACTGGTTTGTATTCCCAGCTCCTGGTGGCTCCTCTCTCAATCAGCAAATAGGTAAAAAAAAGTATGGAAGTGCAGTGTGTTTTATTGCTTTCATAGGTGAATATTAAGAGGATTGATAGAAAAGCTGTCAAATAACTTCTGACCAGAGTGACTGTCTTCACTGCCAGTGACATAAGAAGCACTATTTGCTAGTAACAATGCAGCATTGTAGCATAATTGAGTGGCTGCTTTAATGTTTTAAAATTTCTTAACAGAGATGTATTTTAGATGTAGTGTCATATTGAACTAATACAACACACACCGAAAACAAGTGGAAAGTTTATATTGTGAACTGATGCAGAGCCTTTCCCTCTGTATCTCAGAATGATTGTTGAAGTTTAAGTGCTCCAGAGAATTGAGTTGTTGTTTCAAAGCTTGGACTTCTGTTGCTTCAGCTCTTCCTGATTTTTGGTTTTTTTCTGCATGAGTTTCCTGTGTCATTCTTTTGTTCTGCTAATTGGACAGAGTGCAAGGCCTTTAAATGTCAAGTATTTAGCAAGGAATGAGCATTAGCATATTTGAGGAAATTATGTCCAGAAATGGAGAAAATAAAGCAAACATACTTCAGAAGAACTTGGCATATTTACCTAATACCTACCTGTTTTCTAACAAATTTTTATGTTCATAATAGATTTTATGAAATTGTAATTTTGACACAGTCTTCTTAACTTAAAAAGAAGTTGGACTGCAATTTTTACCTTACATCTGTGCATTAGTTCAGCGATGATCTCTCTTCAAGATAATCTTGATCAAAATGTTTCAAACCTCTAAGCAGTAGCATGGGGAGAATTGTTTGGAAAAATGTTGGAATCTTTTAAAGTGTTTAAAAAGTTTTTCTGCTCACTATTTTAACTTGAAAAAAAGCAGGGTGGATGGAACAAGGAAGTAAGGAAAATTTTTGGAAGGTGGGAAACATCTTTTTTGGTCAGGAAAGGACAACTGCCCTATCAGATTGACATTTGTCTTCAGGCTAAGTGTAGTCTGGAAAACAGTGCATAAAAGCTGTGCTTGAAAGGCTTAAACTGCCTTCAATTCTAAAAATTTAAAGCCTGGTAGATAAGTTGTGATGTTGATAATATGGATTTAATCATCTTTCCTACTTATTTTCAAAAGACAGAAGTTGTATTTATTTAGACGTATTCTAAGTGTAGTTTACACCTTTGGCTAGTCATCTTCAGGGAAATATATCCATTATGACTTATTTGTAGTTCTACTGTTTTGAGCCCCAGTGTGGTAAGCTGGGCAGCTATGTCCAAGATTCTGATGTCACAGAAGGTGACTGTCGGTAGTGAGCAGCTGTAGCAGACTTCCTAATGCTTAAAATACCAGACTGGATGATGACTGTGCCTTTCAAAAGGCAAATAATGGATGTTGTTCATGTTAAGTTATTGTGTGCAACAATGTTTCTTTCTCTGTTAAAGAATTAACAGCTCACAAGCTATGTGCTGTTAGTTGATAGCCAGTAACAATTTTATTTATAACTGCAATAACATTCTGAAAAGAATCAGCTTGTTTTAGAAGTACTAAGCTGTGAAGACGGAGATGTTGTCAAAAATAGAACCTGTGGATGCTCTCATCTTTCAGTAAGTGACTGGACAATCAGGGCAACATGCACATAATATAAAATCCTTTGGGACTTCCTGAAGCAATTTTAGTTTGATCAGTGGTGTTGGTTCTTAATGAATGTACACTGTTCAGTGTGGAATATTTTTATCTTGTGAACCTTACATTTCAGACTGATAGGACTAACCCATCCAACCTTTTAGACAACAGGGGTTTTTTCATTGTTATTCGTGGCATTTTAGGTTTTGGCTTGGGAGAAAGGCATTGTTTTAGGCATGCTTTTGTTTGTTTTTCAGAAATAAAAAGTGGTTCAAAAGCAGTTGTAATACTTACACATACAATTGTAGTCTCTTTCTACATTCCTAAGTAGAATGCTGAGATCCTGTGTATTTGTGCAGAGATTAGTAATTCAGTAAGAGTTTTTCCCGAGTTACTAAAACAAAACTGAGTTATTGTTTTAATATGAAAACAGAGGATTTTTGAAGTTATTTTAAAAAAATAACAAAACAACAAAAAACCAGCATCATAACCAAAAAAACCCCCAAACAAACAAAACCCCCCCACACACAAAAACAAACCCAGCAAGTGGGAGCTGACAGAGATTACTAGCGGAACAACTGTATGCCAAAGCTTTTTTGCTGGTTTGGGTCGTGAGAGTGACAGAATGTGTGTAACTGCATTCCAAGGCTGCCCAATCAAGCGTATTCCGAAATACTTGTGAGGTTGTAGTGGCAGCTTGTGATGGAGCCATTCATGGTGGTGAGCACAGCGATGCTTCTGGCTTCAGTCACTCAATTGGTTAATTTCCAAAGTAAGGCAGATGTGTTGGCAGGAGTTAAGTTATGCTAGCCAGTCTTCTCTTGCTGCCACTTTCAAATGCTACTTTCTGATTTCTCTTTTTCTGGTTTTTTTTTTGTGTTTTTTTTTTTTTTAGATCTGAAGTTTGGTCACAAGAATAGAAAACTAAGCACAGAAGTCAGTTCAGTTTACTTTAAATCAGGCATGTAGATTTAAAAGCAACCAAACCAACACAAATCATACATATATCATACAGAGAATTAAATAGTTGTAGTGGACTTTCATGGATTTGCATATATGATAATATAAGGAAATTATTTTAAAGTGTCTGAATTACATTAGCAATGCAGGTATAAAAATTTCTGCAACTGTTTTTCACATTTAGGGGGAAAAAAAACCCGTAATTGCAGGGTTGTGCTTAATGTGTAGAAATTGAGGTGAAAACCTTGTAAATGTTTCTGAAAACACTTGGTTTCTTTCTCTAAGTGGCCTTTGACAACAAATCCACAGTGTGTATCTGCTAACTGATGTGTAATGAAAAAAGGTCATGCTTGGTCACTTGCTTTATTCTCAGCTTTTCTGTCAGGAAGTGGTGAGGTTTTTTGATAAGGGAAATGTTCTGGTTGAAATTATTCACCCTAATGTCAGGAAGAGAAAAAAAGGAGATGGTCAGTTCGACCAGAATTCCTGATTTGGCACCTTCTTGAAGGAAGTTGAGAGAAGATGCTGTGGTTCAGTTCAGCACTTCCTGGGAAGTGTTAAACAGTAAAAGTTAAAAGTAAAAGTTTCCAGTACCAGGAAATACACAGAAATCATTTGTTGTGATTGCTTTAATTCCTTTTTAAGAATATATTAAAAAAGATCTAATTCTTGCATTAATATTTAGTAATTGCTCACTTCTATAGCCTTTCTTATTATTACTTGCTCTGTCTAATTTTAGTATGTATGCAACCAGATTTGCTTTTGGTATGAAAAGCAAGTATGTGCATAAAACACCTTTCCCGTCAGATGTGACTGAGCAAAATTATATTATAAAGGTACAATCTACTTGTAACTAGGTAGAACTGCACAAAAAGAGAACTTGTACTTGACTTGTGTGGATGTATATGGAAGAATGGATCCATGTCCTAATACTCAAGTATACATATTCAGCTGTCATTTCCTTTGCTAGCCATGATTCATTCTTAATGGATGGGTGTATGATTATATATGTGTATGAAGTTTCATGGAAGAATGTTTAGTCACTTCTGGTGGTAGTATTATACCCAGGTTATTCGTTGCAGAGATTGTATGATACTGACTTAAAATTGGGGCTTAAAAGCCTTATTTGTTACAGGATAGTAAAGTTGTTCTAAAAGTAGAATTGCTTCTGGGGGGCTTTCCTACAGCTCTCCCTGACAGAATAAGGGAGTAGCTTACAAGCACTTTATTGGTTTTACTAGTCTTGACAGAAGCCTGCATATATCGCTTGCTTTCTAGGTAGGTGATAGACTTCAAGAGATGTGTAAATACCAGGAAACTTGGGGTGCAGTGTTTAAAGTAGGCGATGCGCTTTTCATCTAACTTCAGAAACTCAAATCATAGCTGCTTCTGGCTTTACTTGCAGGCTCCATATCAGGCATCTAGACTATAATAAATTGAATGTAGGAGATTTCAGAAATGGCACTCCATTCCTTAATTTAGCTGATTTTCAGGGGAAGAAAAAGTTGTTTCTTAAAAATAGGTGACACGTGCATACCACTACAATTTGTAGATAAGTGAACCTTTTTCTGCCATGGTAGTAGTGGAATGGCTGGAAGCTGCTGACTGGAAGCTGGCAGTGCGATGCTTGGGTGAATGTCCCTGCAGCTGCTACGTGTTCGCTTTAGAGCAGCTTTGAGTAAGAACATGTGAAGATTGACCTCATCTTAGGTAGTTCTTCCCAAGGCAGAACAACTTACGAGCACTGGACTTGTATGACAATTCTGCTTTGAAAATGAAACATTGTATTATTAACTATATGTCATCAGTTCTGTGTTCTGGTTTGGCCACTTGAGTGACAATGGGCCACTATATATGCCTCTGCTGCATGATGGTCTAAGTGGTTGTGCACAGGAGATTCAGGACTTTGAGGATACAAGGTATTACTCACACTGAAGTATGACTGAATTCCTGGGAAGCATGGGCATGTGACTCCTGAGTATGTGTTGCAATGCAGCGGCAAGGTTGAGACTCCCAGCTCTCTTCTTTCTGGAAGAGCACAGGCTGCTGTCTTTAGGATACTTCATTCAGTTCGCAGTCTACTTCCGAGTTCCTTGGAGAGAATCACTGGAAGTGCCCTGGAAAGGCAGGCTATGGACTTGAACAGCTTTGTTCTGCCGTACAAAAGACTGTTGACCTAAAATGTAAATAATATTTTCCTGTTTACATTTAACTTTTTCATAATGTCTCTGTTACAAACAGTAATGGTATCTTATATTTTAGTGTCCTAAGGAATTGGTGGTGTTCATTCAGTAATCTAAGGACTTCTTCTGTTTTTAAATTAGAAATTATGGAAAAATCGGGTGAAGAAGGAATGCCTGATCTTGCTCATGTTATTCGTATTTTAACGGCAGAGAATATCCCTAATTTACCACCAGGAGGTGGTTTAGCTGGCAAGTGAGTACAGTATTGGAATTTCTTGTTTAGTTCACTGAAACAAATACTTAATTATTTAAATGTTTTAAAGCTTTTTTTTTGTAACGGCTATACTCAAAAGAAAATAGTTGGGTTTATATTTTAAGCTGGTTTACTTTTTGTACTATGTGAACATTTGTGTCACTGTTCCCATTCTGGAACGGTAAGACGAAATAGATTGACCATATTCTGGTACATAACATACTAGTTTGCTGTTTCCATATGGGCATTTAAAAAAAAAATATTACTGGTTTTTACTGTTTTACATTACTGATAGTTCTTAACAATTGTAACTAGAATATCAAAATACCAGCTCAATTTTTCTGATGTCATGTTCCTCCCACCACCTAATGTCCGTTCTGAGTTTGGGTCAACGCTTGTTTGCTCAGCAAGCATTTTCATTAAAAAAATTGTTTTTCTGTAGACGTAAACTGAATGTTAGATAAGCAACAATATTGAACTAGGGTATGCATTTTAAAACTTAATTGGAATTAACATTCAGAAATTACATTGGTTTTCTGAGGAGGCTAATGGTGATGTTCTACAATTCCCCAAACAGTGGGGGCTTATGCTCCCTAGTGCAAGTCGTGCTGCTTTTGGAATCTTTCAAAATATGAAGTCCTGTCCTCTGAGCATTTGTGTATATATCTTTCTGCTCTGTGCTCTTATTAATGAGGTATGTTTGCCATTATTTTTTTTTTTTTCTAGCCTTAAAAGTACCTGTGCATTCTGGGCCTTTTTTTCCCACTTCAGTGCATTCCAGACTTTCAGAGAAGTTGTGGTGTAGCTGTTCTTAGTGTCTCCCAACTGCTGAATGAGTCAGTGTGTTTTGTTGTTATGCTCATTAAAAAACTGCAGCATGTACTGCTTCAATATTTTGGAACCTTTTACATATAAATTATATTTTAATTTGTTGTGATCCAGGTTACATTTTAAATGGATGTAGGTTCAGAATTCGCCTTTTGATGACTTTCTATTTTCCATCTCTTGTTTCCAATTGAACTCAGCCCAGAGAAGAGAAGGCTCCAGGGAGACCTTATAGCACCTTCCAGTACCTGAAGGGGGCTACAAGGAAACTGGATGGGGACTTTTTCCAAGGGCCTGTAGTGACAGGGCAAGGGGGAACGGGGTTAAATTGAAAGCGGGGGGGGTTAGATTAGATATCAGGAAGAAGTTCTTCCCAGAGAAGGTGGTGAGGCACTGGAACAGGTTGCCCAGAGAAGCTGTGGATGCCCCATCCCTGGGACTGTTCAAGGCCAGGCTGGATGAGGCTTTGAGCAACCTGGTCTAGTGGAAGGTGTCCCTGCCCATGGCATTTAAGGTACTTTCCAGCCCACACCAATTCTATGACTTTATGATTTTGACTTTTAAAGTCCTGACTTAGAGAAAACTGACTTCAGGAGGTGTACCTGCAGCTTCTTTTAAGAGAATATCATAGAGTATTAAGTAATGTTTTCTTGGTCTTCAAATGTAGGACAAAAATGGGTAGTGATGTAGTTAACTTTACTTGCAGGATTGAGCTCATGCATGGAAGCTTTAAAAAGTATGACTACACAACCCAAAACCCACATACAACATAACAAAACTTTTGTCCTAACAAGAGAATATTCTTTGTCTTGAGATCGTTATCCTGTAACGTTACCAGGACATGAAGAATTCACACTTTGTCCTTCTGTCTGAACTCTTAAGATCTGGCTCAAAGAGGTTGCAGAAAGAACTTGTCTGTGGCTTACATCCTTGTTTTTAGCATCAGTCATAGTTGCTCCTGGTTTTTAATGTCTGAGCTGGAGAAACACAGTGCAGCATTACCTTGACTAATGTGTATCTATAAACCTTGCGAACCTCTGAAGTAGCTCCACTTCTCTGGCACTGCGTACTTCCTTCAAGCATCTCGCTTGTCTGGAAGCCTGTACTGGCTCATTCTTTGAGGCATGAGATCTAAAGGTGTCAGCTCTCCTGTGGTCACTTGACTGTGGTGGTGTTTTACCCTTTAAAATCTTACTCTTCAAAGACCAGCTTCTGGCTTGTCTCAGGTTCCCCTGTCGCTTCAGATGCTGCCCAAAGAACGGTCGCTTCTGCTGAAGAGAAGTTCTGAGCTACACCGTCACTTGGGTGTTAGGGCTTCCACTTAACATGTTGCTCCTGAATTTTCCCTTGAAAGGAAAGTATGGAGAAATGCACTGTTCAAAGGAAGAAAAGTGAATTGCAAAGACAGGAAAATTCCCAAGGGCTTGAGTTTTAAGTCTAATTGAAACCCTCTGCAATGGCTAACTGCCACTTCTATGGCAGTCTTGCTGGACTGTCCAGGTGTTTTCTGTTTCATTGGTGTGAGGTGCCGTTGGTCTCCATGGCACAGATATTTGGTCAAAATTGTGCAATTCCACTTTGACTAAACATGGAACTAAATAGAGCGAGAACTCTTTCCATCATGCGCATAAAGATTGTTTCTTTTCTCTAGGAAAGTCTTCAGCCAGTGCTGATGAATCCCATGCTGGCTCAGCCATACAACCCTTCCAGAATTCTTAGAGCATTGACTTTTAAGTGGTGTGCTCTTGGATAAGTTGTGTTCTTCAGTGGACTCTTCATATCGGAAAGTGTCTACCAATTTAATTCCAAACTTCTTTTCAGGAGCTCATTCAGTCACAGCCCAAAGCCTTTGTGTGTGAACAAGCACAAATTGCATATACACCACTGTCCTTAGGCTTCGCATTGTCAGGTGCATCTGTTGTGCCTTCTGCTTGTCTGGGTGTGGTGTGTCTAGGTAAATGCTGATTTCGTGTTGCTTCTGAACACAGGATAGCAGGATGTCTTTTCAGTGTTGCAGATTAGTGGTCATCATGAGACTTGATGCACTGTCCTTTGCATTCACTGGTCTGCAAACCATCTTCCAGAGTTCTGAGTGTTTTAGTAGGTCCTGTTTTAAATGCTGGATCATGTCTTGAAAAATATCATCTGATGCTGGACACCAGACACTGAGATTACCTCATGTATTGCTTTGTCTCAGAAGTCCACATATTTGCAACATCCTAGTCAAAACCCTAATGATTCTATGGTTCTAACTATTCTGTTTTGAATGTGCCTTTGCTTCCTTGGTATGAACATAAAAACTTGTCATACTAGATCAGACCAAAGATTGTTCTAGCTCTGTATCCTGTCTTCAGGATAGCTGAAGGTACATGCCTAGGGAAGAATATAAACACAGGAGAACATGTGAAATAATTCCCGTTACTATTTTGGTTTTTAGTTTCTTACAGTTAAGGTGCTTCCTGATCTTGAGGTAGTTTATGTACTCAATGATTTAGAATTCCTCTTCCATGAAGTTTAATATGTTCAGAAAGAGCCTCATCAAACTTCTGGCACCCTCAGTATTCTGGGGCAGAAAGTTCTGCTGCATGAAGAGCCATCACTGTGGTTTTGAGACATTTGCTGCTGCCTTCATCTGATGCCCTTGTGCTCTTCGCTTGGAAGAGTCAACAGGCAGTGATTACTCATGTTCTTTTAGCCATAATCTTTATAGAACTTACCAGACTTGAGACTTCATGTAGCAGGTTTTTTTTACTGAAGCTGTCAAATGCGATCATATTTATTATACTTGTCTGAACTTTTCCCAGCTCTTACTCTGAAGATGCAGGGCCATAACCTTTTTCCTCTCAGAAGTCTCCTTATACTTTGGGTTTTATTTTTTATTTGTAAGCTTTTGTGGTTATTTTACCTGCCTGTGAGGATGTGGCCTTATATGGCATTGCTGGGGGGGGGGGGGGAAGGGGGGAAACACACCAAAAAAAAAACCTACCCACCCACACAAAAAAACCCCACACAAACAACTAACTAATGGAATTTGGGGTTTAATATCTACAACATGAATATACACTAGACAACACACCTCAGACTGTACTCTGAGCAACATGATTCAAAAGTTCATAGGCAAGTAGTAACCTCTGTATATGTAATAAAAATGGGGGGAAACCCAACTGTCTTCAAGTTGCACATCCAGAAATAAGGTGAGAAAACCATCTCACTTGAATAATTTTTTTATAGTAAGCAAAATAAGATTTAAATGTTAGTCTTGGAAAAATCTGACTATGTAGCTGGAAATTCTGCAGGTGTAAAGGGATAAACCATGGGGAGGGTAAGGTAAGAAAATGTTTTGCCTTGCTTAGTCTTTACAAATCCTGACTTACTCCTAAATCCCCAAACATCATGTTGAAATTAAGTAAAGACACTGGGCTTATTCTTTTGAAGAGGCAGGTTAAAGACAAGTCATCTTAAACACTTTGAAATTATTACTGTGCTGAAACTTTATAAGTTTTCAGTGTTTTGAAATACTTTGTACTAATTTTTTTACAACTTCTCTTTTTCTAGGCGTAATATTATTGAAGCTGTGTATAGTAGGCTGAATCCACACAGAGAGAATGAGGGGGTAAGTTCCTGTTTTGCTTGGTACACCTCTTTGTTAATGAGAACAGCATAGTAGTGTCATACATTAAGCAAAAGTGTGTATCACTGCCAATAAAGTAGTATAAGCACAAAATAGGTGATGTAGCATACAGTTCATTTTGACCTTGTTCTGCACGGATCTGATATACAACTTCATCCTCAAAGACAGCAAACTGACACCCAATTCACAGACTTTGTAAACATTTAATTGATTACTGCTTTTTTCAGTCAAACCTGTGAGGCAACAGTGCAGGGGTTTTCTAAATTATAATTTATTATTGTAAAAAATTGTTAGCTTATTCCTCATTTAACTAGCTGTTATGTGTACTGTCCAGAAATCTAGTAGAAGAGGCGACAAACACTTCCTGTTTTCTTCTGTATATGTGAAAGACCTTGGTTCACATAATATAAAAGATAATGAGTCTGATATTGACTACTTTGTTGAGTTTACACTATCTATAAATATCCCATGTGCAGTGGTCTAAGGCAAGTGTCAAGTGATTTCAGTTTATTTCAGTTCTGATTTCTCAAATGGCTTACATTCTTCTGCCTGTTTCCTAAAAGTTGAATTTTTAAATGTTATGTTGAAATATGGTTTACTGTAACTTTAAACCTGGTTATTAGGTTGTTAATTTCAGTATAAAGCGTAACTGGTGTTCATATCAGTTGCTGTTAAATTTATTTAAGAAGAATCTTTTGGAAAACTGAAGAACCGATAAAAAACATCACTGCTTGGACACTTGTCAGTTCCTGTACAGTTTACATGAACTGATCTTTGAAGGTGCCGCTCACCTTCTAGTAAATCCTTTGACATATTTTTTTCTCTTCTGAAATGGCTACAAGGTCCTCAGGTAGTTATTACAAGGAATGGTGTTGGGAGATGTCAATTTTTAACTTAAATACTTTGATCAGTTGTGTCCCTTGAGATTGTGAATACGCAGTCTCTCACACACACACACGTGTCATCTTCTCTTGGCTGCCTATGGTTTGGTTTGTTCTCAAGTTAGAAAGCTTGTGCAGGTGGGAGAGGCCACTATTCTGGTGGAGTACAAATAGAGAATAAATATGTAATAGAGAATAAATTTGTAATACTTTTCTATCGTTTAGGATTTGTTCCTCTTATTAGTTCAAAAATAAGAGTATATGCTTTTTCTCATTTAACTTTCAAGAAATTGTGCAACAGTACCCCAAAACAAGCTTCACAAAACCTTCCTCTTCTCAGCTTCTTTGATCCTTCAGGAAACTCTGCACCTCTGTCAGCCTGCTAGTACTTTACCCCAAAAGCAGGAAAAAAAATAAGGCTAAATATGAGAAGTTGTTGGTGAAAGTATAGGTTTTATAAGTTGGTTGGTTTTTTAAGAGAAGTTTGTCTAATGTTATCGTTCTAGAAATACCATATGCCGTAGTTATGTTTATGATGGATCACTTCTGAGTCCAAATTTACTTTTCAGTAGGCGTGCAAGTTTGCTGAAAGTCCTAACATACAATACAGCATCCTTTTGTGTATAGGCTACTTGCAGGAATTTTCTGTACATCTTCCATTATAATTGAATTAAATTAGGTAACTGAACTAAACATGCAAGTTACTCATAAAATAATATAGTTTTAACCCTTATGAACATTAGTAGCTTTGACCTTTATTGCCATTAGAATCCCTGTATAGTTGAAGTACGTTGAATTCGAGTGCTGAAGTGTAAGAAGTATACTCCAGTCTCCTTTGTGAACTTTGCCTTCTGTTGGTATTTAGTGCAATATCAATAATGATTTGGGTGCTGTGTTTTAAATACACTGGATTAACTTTTAGTTGGACCTTCTGGTCAGATGTCAGTTGTCAGTCAGTACCTTTTCTTGTTTCTATCCTAAGTGATTCTGACCCAGTTTGAGAGGAGGACGTGCCACTGGGTGAAGGAAGCAATTCCTGCTTGCACTTTCCCAACAAGTTGGAATTGTTACCTTACTGTCCTTGACGTGGGTGAATTTAGTGGGCCTCACCACTGAGGTGATGAAAGCATGACTCCATGACTAGTCTTACTCAGTTCCGTATGTAAGTGGTGTTCTCTTAGTCTTTTGAGCTGAATACTGTAGTGCATGGGGGAAAGATGCTCCTCCCCTTTTACTAAAAGGGAAGGAAACTGTTCAGTTACTCAACATTGCGCTCTCCACAATGTCTACACACTGAGGTTGCTACACATCTCCCATTTAAACCGGAAGCAAAGGTTGGAAGGAACCATGTGCTACGTCCCAGTGATGAGATTTCCAAGTGAGACTGGAATCTAACTAGTAGTGTCCCTGTTATAAACTACTATGAAGCAAGACTGGATCCTCATACTAAGAACTGAGCTGCAGACACAGATGCCGAGTCTGCAGGGCAGGAGGGTGCACTGACTTGCGCTTGGGAGTCTTTCCCCATGTTTAGGTAACAGCACACACACACATGTCTGTTAGAGTGTGGGTGTAGTGCAGAATGCTGCCGTTACTAACTGGGAAGGCTGCCTGTGGCAGTCGTCTTCACATGATGATTTCATGTCAGGCTGGAACCACTTTTTTACCTTGACAAAATAATCATGTAATTAATTGCTAAAATATTAATGCACATGAGTAAAAACCTTTAAAAACTCAGGAGCGGCACAAACCAACCAGATTAACTTCTGCAATTGGGAATACAACTTCCTTCTAAGGACTGCACTTTTTAGTGTTGAACAAATTAAACTAGTTACCCTGAGTTAGTGTCAACTGGATCATAATAGCTTTGCAAATCAGCGGAGAAAATTCTGGTTTACTGATGAACAGTGCCTCCCTGCCACCTCCCCAGCAGCAACGATGGCTGTGATCTCTGCCGGAGATCTCGGCATGCTGAACACTGGGCTTGCTTTGCTGAGTGCCAGCCTGCTGAGTGCAGATTTACTGGAACCTGAAGTAGACAAAGGAAACCTTAGAAAGTATATAAATCAAAACCGTGGTGGCATCTTCTAGAGGAGCTTAGTTTTACTCAGCTCTGTAAAGACTTCAGTTAGTGTTGTGCTTAAAATTTTTGTCATGTGAGCCAGTGGTTGTAGAGTAACTTCTTCCAGTTCTTACATGTGTGTTTACGGAGAGTTTTTAACATACAGCCTAAATGAGGAGATAATGTGTAGAGTGAAGAGACCGAGGGGTGGAAGATCCTCACTACAGCAGTATTCAGAGATTCCTGGTGTCTCTTCAGGGTACAGCAGTCTTTTTTTGTTTGATTGTTTTCTTTTAGGCATCTCGGCAGCATACAAATATATCATAAATCCAGAGCTAGAGAGAGCCCTGTATTGGGCTCACAAAGAGCAACTTTGCCAGTGTTTTAGCAGAGGGGCTTCTGCTATAAAGGGGGTGCTTGTGCCCTTGCAAGTGTGAGTGCAGTCGTAGAAATCTGAAAGCACCACGCCCCAGTACTTATCATATCTTTAAAGGGAATTTAAAAGAACTTCTTCATAGCTAAATGATTGTTACTACTGATGTTACAAATGCATCGAGTCATCGTTCCAGTTAACGTGTTTAAGCATTACTCTTTCTGTAATGACTTCACTACTTCTACCATTTTCTTCAGTGTGTTCCTAAGTCTGGAAGGTTACTTGGGTGTATGTGTATCCTTCAACTAAAGGAGCAATGTTAAAATTACAGTGGCTTGTTAAGTTTCAGTAGCATTTGTTTAAAACCACATTTGAGTATCTTGTTTGAAACTCTTGTGTTGATATATCTCTTGCTTTTACTGATATTGCACTCTTACACTTTGCTAATTAAATCATAGGTCATTAAAGGCTACAGATAATTTTAAAAATTTAAATTAACAAAATTCTTACACCCTTAAACATTGTAAATCCTGTCCTTAGTACATAGTAAAAAAAAAAAAAAACCAAACCAAAAACGTAGCTAGCAAAAGTTTATTCTTTTCATGGTTAGCAGCACTAAGCTGAATTAGAACGTGAAGAAAGGCAAATGCTAGCTTGCACAATAATCACAGTTTTCAGGGGCCTGTTTTGGGCACACACCATTAGAGAGAAATATGTGTTAGAGTGTATGTATGTCTAGTATGTAAAAGAGGCCCTTTCTGTCCTACACTTACCTGAGGCTTCTTGTCTGCTACCACTGAGGGAGACAAGTGTAAAATAGCCCCACATCAAACAGGGTGCACAGCAAAGCAGGATGTGCTGCCTTGTTTAATAGTAACTATTAATATTTAATATTAACTAAATAAACAGGTTTGGTGTTTTGGTCAAAACCTAGAAATAGGATACATCTTTAGCCTTTCCTTTACTTTGTGCACATGAGGGATTAAACCAGTCCCACTTCATACATGAAAACTACCTCCTTTAACTTGCTTTTCCTCACTGGGCTCTTGAGGAGCTATCGGAATATGGAAATGCTAATACATGGGAGCCAACCACAGTGGAAGTATATCCCTATGCAACAAATTAAGCTCATACGCAGTAACATTCTTTTTTTTTTTTTTTTTTGGCGTAATTGTCTCCTTTTTAACTTAAACTGTGCTAATCAGTCTTGGGATTTCTATTTCAGCAACATTACAGCACCCAAAGTCTTACTAAACACAAGATACTGTCTTAATGCTGCTGTTAAGCTTGTAAATGGGTGACTGCAATACTTGCAGTTTATGAAGCTTTTGGACTAGATGACAATGAGATGAGGTCAGCATGAGGAAAAGGCAGTCTGGATTTTTCTGGAGTCTCTAATGTATTGCAAAATCTGCCAGATTCCAGAGATACAGTTCCATTTGTCTAGCTTCATTAAACTTGCTAGATATTAATAATTTAAAATGTAGTATTTCCTTAAAGCAACAGTGCCGCTTTAACACTTGCAAGTTAAAATATCTCCTATCAGTGTCAGACTAATAGATGTGCAAGTCTTGCAAATTTAGTGTTCCACAACTGTTTGTTTCAAATGGTGGTTTGTAGCCAAATAGGTGGTTTGCAGGGGAGATTCCTTAATCAGTGCTTGCTGCTCAGGTTTTGTGCTGTAGGCTGTTAGACTTGACTTTGAATAGCGGTCCTGCGTGTTACTTTTTCTAGGCGTTACACACACCTGTCAAAAACAGTGTCTTACAGCGTTCAAACCCCACCACTTCTGCTGCTGCTAGGTAGTGTATCATTGCTTTCATGGCAGCAATGTGCATGGAAAAATCGGTCTTTAATGCAGAGGGATTGTTTTCTTCAATGCTTTGAGCACTGGTTTTGATGAACATTGGTTCTGATTTTTAACTAAACTGCTAGCAGCAGAGTTACCTATTCTTCTCACTAAGTTTTTCACAGACCTGTGTTGTTATTGACTGTGCAGAAATTCACAATTAAAAATACTGTCCCCGTGGCTAAAGAAGCTTAAGTATTTCAGGTTTGTCACTGACAACTGACCACAGTTGTGGGGAACTTCAGCTGTTTTCATCGAAAGACAGTTTGAACCAAGATGGAGTTAATTGGGAGGAGGTGCCGTGTTGATGCTGTCTGGCTCAAAATCAATTGAAATTATTAAAAATTCTGTTTTAATAGCTATAATTTCTTAAATTATTACAATGTATGAAATAGACAAACATGGATGTGTTGTTCTGAGATGTATGTTGCTATTAAGGTATTTTATATTCGAAGTAGAGAAAAGCTTATTTACTCAATCAAAAAGATGTGGGGGTTTTTATATGTCATTAGAAAATATCCGAGTTTAACTACTGATTTTTCTGGGGTCTTGAATCTTAAAAAAGGACCCTGGCGAAGCCGAGGCAAGTGGAACGCAGGGAAAATTCGTGGAAGCACTCAGGCAAATGAGAATTAATCACAGGGGGAACTACCGCCACCTCCTGGAAGAGATGCTGAGTAGTTACAGGCTAGCTAAGATGCAGGGAGAAGAGAGCACTGCTGAATCAGCTGCAGCATCTGCTTCAGGTATTCATGCTGGACACAGTGACCCCGTACCAGACACCCCCACAGAATCTGGGAATCACCTTGCTGAAATGCAGAGCTCAAGTGAAGATTCAGGGGTGCATGAGATGAGTGATAAACAGACATAATGTCTTACCTAGCCGATTTAATGCTTCGCTTCACTTGACGTCTTTTCCTTTGTTTATATCTCAACATTTGTCACATTATCCTAGAAGTCTGCTTGGTTTTACGTTAGTTATTTGTACAGACTGTTTACACAAAGCTCTTTTTCCTTAGAAGTTCAACTGCTACAGTGTATTATAGTAATTGCATCTTATGTTGTGTAGCAAGCAGTCGACTCCCCATTTGAGATTCTGCTTTTTTTAAAATCCTGTGACACCTACAATATGATTCTAACATGCTAATGCAAAAATAAACTTAAAAGCTTTTTCTTTTGAGTACATTCTTAAATAATTTTGATGGTATATGGTTGCTAATTGTAAAGTAATTCACATATTAATTGTATCTTTTGTGCAAATTAATTGAATTATACGGTATTTTTTTTATTCCCCGACATCATATACTGCATGCTTGTATTTGAACTGTTTATAGTTTATATTACAACAAAATTACAGAAGTTATTACTTTTTAGGTTTTCATCTTTTTTTCATGAGATGTGTTTGGTTTTTTCCAGTTTAGATTGTACCTACTGTTCATCATAAATACCTATTTTCTAGACGACTGTACTATTACTTCCCAAGTTGTAGCATAACATTCAGAAATGAAAATGTACTTAGATTTAGTACCTAGTGTCAAGTTCGAAAAATTTGTGTTTAAGTGAAAATAAAGAATATGCTGTGGAAGAATCTCTGTATGCATATTGCCTCTTTTAACATGCTATCATTCTGACGTGACCTGAAACTTTTCATAGGCTCTGATATTAACTCATGATGATCATTACTTTCTACAAGTATTTGAGAGATTTTGGGCTTGGCACATTCATCATTAATCCTCTGTTTGGCCAGCATTTCCAGGTTCAAGTTAAACATCAGCCACATAAATGAATAAACTGTCTGTTCTTCTACCAAACCTTTTGCGTGTCTTGGTGTATGACACGTGTATGTGCGTGTGTTTGGGTAGATCAGTGATAGTGCTGGGAATGTACAGTGGTCCTGACTAGTCTATGAAGTCAAATCTGGAATTCTTATGTCAGTAGGCAGTTCATAGTATAACACTTAAATATCACTGCATTCATGAGAGCGCCTGCAGGGATCTCTTGCAGACCAGGAATACCTGAAGAGCTGAGTTCCTTAGAAATTTTTTTTTTAGCTCATAGATGTAGCATCTATTGGTAATTATAATGTAGCACAATATTATCTAATACTTAATTTTAAATCTTTATGCTGTGATAGCTATTACTGTGTCCATGTGTTATAAAAGTGAATTCCCTCATGAAGCTGAAGAACGGAGAATGTTTGGGTATGGAAGTGGGCAGGTAAGGAAAAAAGGAAAATGTGTGCCTGATGCTAGTATTCTACTTAATTATGCCACTGAAATCCAGAGTGCAACAAAATTTGTTCGTTTGTGTTGGTGAGTAGTAATATTTCTCCTCTTCTTTTCCTGTAGGGTGCTGGTGATCTAGAAGATCCGTGGTAGCCTTACAAATCTACTAAAATGCTTTTGATTCTGAAAGGGGGAAAAAACTCTTAAATCTGTTTTCTTCAATACAAGGGAAAAATTCTGGTGGATTTCCAACATTCTGTGAAATGGGCAGAAAGATATTAGAATTTTCCATCATTTGTTCATTTTTGTGTTTTCTGATATTGCCACTCTTAGCATTGCCTGTACTACAGTATTTTCACCAGCCTCAGGCAAAACTGGTTACATCTGTAATGAACTGTGGCCCTAAGAAGGAAGGAAGGAGAGATGCTCTCAGCAGATGGGTGTATGTACCTGAGGTGTGTGGGATTGTAGGTGTCCTCTGAAGATACACTGTGGCTAAGTGAAATGTGCAACACATAAGCGTGAGAGAGTACAAGTACTTGTTTGAGACGTTACTTATTTCACTTTACCGAGTTGGAAGGCTTTGCACCTCTGTGGCTTGGAAGTAATTTCAATTGGGCAATATGCTATCAGATGTTTTGGTTTTTTTTTTTAATTTTCCGGTTTTACCTGTATTACCAGACCGTTAGGTTTCCCTGCGGTGTCCAAATTGTGATATGTTGCCTACTGCTTGCTTGAAGATAAGTGTATTTGGCAATAATATATAAAGATTCTAGGCATCTAAAAACAGTAAGAATTTTACGCATGTGTACAACACACCCTTAAACTCTTGCTAGAGAAAATCTTTTAAAACCAAACTGATGAATTTGTAGTTAGTAGTGACTTGCTTTGACATCTCTCACAGCTGCAGGTTTTTAAAAAATGCTGAAAATTTGCCTTTATTATAATGTAAATTGTGATTATTTTTTGTTCTATATGTGGTTTTCTATAGTTTTTTGATTTTTTTTTTTCAGCTTAAGATACAGACAGAAGTCTTGTGTAATATGGGTATAATTTTTAATTGTTTGCATTATTTTCAAAGTTCAAATTATCACTTTGAGATTACTATAAATACACTTAAAATTATCTATTTTAAATTAAGAAAATATTAGAGATATTTTCATGGGTTCAATGACCTTTCATTTTATAAGCAATGGGCATGGTACAGAGTGGCTGTCATGTAAGGTACTTGAAGATTCTTAGTTTAATTCTATTTTTGCAATAACCTTGACTTTTTTTTCTGACTTCTTTGAGTTGTGCATGTAATGAGTCCAGTAAATGCTGAAAATGGGAAGAGTATTTATCTAAAATAAAAGCTATTGGGGAGGGGAAACAATGAATGTATCCATCTGTACATGATTTACATGCTGTGGATGCCTTGTAAACATTTTCCTATTTGTTTAAACTGTGTTTCAGCGAGGATGTAATTGCCCTTGTGTGTAGTTTTAAGCTAATGACAGTCATCAACTGGTTTTGTGTGAAATGGAATTCATGGTATTTTTCTGTAACTTTATCCCCATGGTGAGTCTGTTAAAAAAAAAAAAAAAGACAAAAAAAAAACCCCACATGCTCTTTCATACTGGTGTCGAAGGCCGGCTTTCCCCATCACTTTGATTCACTGTGTATCTGATCTTTTTTTTGGTCTAGAGAGGATTATTGCCACAGTATATTTTATTTATTCATTAGATTTTAGCCTTGTAAGTTAAAGTGTTCTAAATGATGATGTTAACAGGTATTTGTCCCTTTACTGTTTTTTTTGGGGTTGTTAAAAGATAGGGAATGAAGAATGCAAAATGGTTTATTGTTCAGACTGTCCGCTCTGGTCCAACCCTGTACTGATAGTACCTTCCCAGTATGATATTGTGATGTTTCATACAATACAGTGAACATAACCAACTTGTTATCTTCAATAAAGGATTGCTAAAACAGTGTGATATGCTTCATATTTTCTTGAGAAGGATTTATCAAGAAGATGCTAGTGGTTTATATAAGATCATCAAATAGGATTTATAAGGTGTCTCGTAGTGATGGATTTGTTTGTTCTATAGTGAATGTGGCTGTTTGTCACAATGAGTCAGAAGCCTCCAAGTGGGCTTCTCTCTGGCAGACAGACGGAATACAAACAACGTTTAAGGCTCCTAGGGCAAATCATCCCCAGGTCAGCTGGAATGAGTCCTATTCCTGCTATGGGAGAGCAGTCACTTAAAAGTCTAAAAATTCAGATTAAACTTGATTTTTTTTTTTTTGTCAACTCACTTCTTAAAGTTTCGTAAAGATCTGATGTTAGACCTTTAAAGTTTTAATGCTGTACAGTGTTTTGGATAGAAACTGCTCTAACACTGTCATGAAGACTTTTACTGTTTTTGTGGGGGTGTTCTGTGTGTTGCAGGTTTTTTGGGTTCTTTTTTTAACAACTTATTGTTTAGCTGGGTGGGAACAAAACAAACAAAATCCTCTGTTCTTGATACTGTATGGTAACAATCTGTCTGAATACTTAGTGTTACTGTGGAATTAGCGTTTTTATGAAGAACCTGTAGTTTTTTGAGTCTGTAAGCTCTAAGTTGTTTGAACTCTTCTGTCCAACATAACTCCTGCGTGCTTTCCACATCAGCTGCTGGTTTAATACCTTGTTCCACTGCTAAGAGTTCTTGTACTCCAAAGGCTCCAGTCCTATGAACATTTATACGTGTAGTTTTTTCACGTCATGTGCATATTTCCCCTGGGAAAAAAGGGTTTATGCTTTATTGTACAGAAGTGAAGCAGGCACATGGGTTCTTCAGAGAGAAGGACTATAGCTTGCACAGCTACAACAAAATGCGAATCAAGACTGCTTCCCCCCGCTCCTCCTCCAAATTAGCATTCCTTTCTATTCATGCATCCACTGAGTTCAGAATTATGTTTTTAGTTTAACCAAAATACTGCTCAGCTTTCAGCATCCTGGAAACAAAGCTCCTGTACTTTCTGACTGCATGTACTTAGTGTGGAAAGCCTGAGATGTTTGATAAAATCTGTTTGTGTGTATGTTACTGTGCTGTCGCTTGTCAGTTTTAACATTTGTTTTAAAATTACCACGTTAATTGCGTTGCCACCTGATAACTGACATAAAGGTACTTTGGTAGAACATAGAGTGGGGAGTGTCTCTTCCACCTCAGGTCTATCTGACATGTCACGTTTAGCTTGATTCTTCTCTTCATTTTGGACTTCTGTAATGGTGTTCTGTGTCAGTTCTCAGATCTGCTCTCGGATGATCTTGAGCAAAATAAAGATTTGTTTTAACTGATTCTCATCAGCATGTTTAAATGGAGCAGGGAATAAAGAAATGGATGCGGTGTGATCCTGATCACAACAGGTTTGTGCGGCAGGTTAACTCAAGTGAAAATCTCCCTCTTAATAGAAGGGATCTGGGTGCGCATATTTGGGCCTGCATGCGAACCTTTGCTGGGCTTGGCCAAAATATGCATGCTTTCCATGCCCCTTACGCTGCTGGTTAGGTGCAGGAGGTTAAAAAACTATCCACAAAACAGATTAAGATGTCAGGCCTTGTCACACATCACAGGCTGAGTAATAGTGGCTAGGTAGCTTCTCGGTATCACATATGAAGTGGAGTTCAGTCAGCCACTTCATCTGTGAGCCGCCTTGCACTGTCAGCTGTAATCGTCTAGCTTAAACCTTAAAAAGTAAAATTAGGTTCAGAAAGACCAGTCTTTTTGGCACTTTAAAGGATCGTGGTGGAAATCAAAACCAGTAGGAACTTGAGATGAGTACCAAGCTTTAGTGGGCAATTTTTACTTCTGAAAGATGAAGCAAAAACCAGTGCTGCCAAACAGCAGGTGTAGGTCTGTCCTGGAGGGTGGGGGGAGAAGTTTAAGTGCTAAGAAGTTTTTGATCTATCAACTACTTTTGAAGGGCCAAAAAGCAAATTTTAGGTTTAAGGAAAGCATGTTGCTCTTAGCTCTTTGTAGCTGTTTTTTAGCTCTAAAATGAGAAAGGTGGCTCTGCTGGTGCAGGGGAGCATGGGGTACCCGCTCCCAGAGGTGAAGCTGAGCTGACAAAACCACTTGTACCCAGGTCACTGAGCTTCTGCCGTACAGTCTGGGGGTGAGTGCAGTTCTTGCAGCTGAAACGCCGCCTGGGACTGGTGTGTCTTTGGGACCCCTTTCTCTGTGTGCCTGTCTGATCTGCCGTTTGTGTTTATTTGGATGGCTGCTGTACAGGTCTGGCTTACCTGTGCTTTGCCTGTGCCATCTTGTGTTCCCACCTAGCTGCTGCTCTGATGGAAAGGGAAGTAGCTCTGCGTTCTGGCGTGGCTGCACCTTCTTCTGCGCTTCGCTCGCTGCACGAGGTCATCTCCTTTCCGTCCTTCACTTGGTCAGTGCTGCGTGCTTGGCTTTTTTCACAGCAGAAAGGTGGTGTTCCCTCAGACCCCTCATTTTCCCGTTTTCAGAAACCTTGTATCTATCCTTTGCTGCCATGCTTGGATTTAAAGACTCTGGGGCTGCCTTGCTGTTACTGTGATTAGCGACTGCAAATTAACATCAACTGATGGTTGCATCAGCACCTGCTTTTTACAATTTAAAGACTCCAAGAATTCAAGTCATGGGGATGGGCTTCTCTTTAAAAAACCAAACCAAACAAACCAGCAAAACACAAAACCCCAGACACTCCCATTCTCCAAGTTGGTAATCTTTCTGCGAAGGCAGTTGCCCTTGCTGACAAGGGAAGAAGCCCACTGTGTAGTAGGAAGATGTGTTCTGAAGACTTGTGGCAACTCATTGAAACAGTGGCGTTGAAATAATTTTTTAACACGTCTTGTGTGTTTTGGAAATTACTGCTACCCTGTGTTTCTGCTTTCCCAGAGTTTTGGAGTTTAAGGTGAGTTGTAGGGATGTTGAGGCTATGTTATGCTATATAGTAGTGTTTGGTATTGCAAGGACCCTGCCTTTGACCTTTGGAACATTGGAAAGGGTCCAGTTCGTAAGATCATCTTAGAAGTTCATCTGGCCTGTAAGTATAGAAATACTGGTTGGTTTGGGGGTTTTGCTGGCCTTTTTCAGGCAGCTGCTGGGTTGTTTTCTTGGGTAGTTATGGGATGTTCTCAAACAAGGGTGTGTTTTTTTGAGAGAACTTCTGTGCCAAGTTATGTCAGAAAATGACCAAATGGGATTTGCTTTTATGAATTCCAAGAGCTGCAAAGCTTAAGTGGATGAAGTTGGACAGAAATTCATAGAATGAAGGTTCTGTGCCTTGTGAGATAAAATACTGCTTTCAGGAGTTAGTGTCCAGAACTTAGAAAGGGGACCCAAAAATGTTTGCAAATGTTACATTCCTTACAAGAGTATTAATTTCTCCTTGGAAAAGCTGGACTGTCTTTATAAAAAACGTGCTAAAAGAGAAGCTGTGGTGAAAACTCAACTCTACGCTGATGTATTTTAGCTACTCTTTTTGAACATCTAGTTCAGTAAATGGCCTTCATTTAGGAGGTAGTTGGCAACTTTGAAGTCAATGCATACATGCTGAAGTCTGGTTGCATTAATGAAAAGATATTTCACATTATTTTTGTAAGGAAACTTACTACCACCATCGTTATCAAATTCTTTCTATGAATATTGGTTTTGTTTTGGCAGGTTGCTCGCATGCAGAAAGATGGACATGTGCTTCATCTTGGACTAACGTTCTACAGTATTTAATTGGTTCCTTTTTAGGAGAAACTGGAGAGTGCACTCTTTTCTTTTTGGATTGTTATCCAGTCGTTACTTCGGGTCATAAACACATTCAAGTTTACTGATACAGTAAGGATTTTGCCCTGGGTACGTAAAGCAAATGTGTGTTTCTAGTGAGTCTGTATTTTCTAATATTTCAGTTTTGGGAGCAGAGAATGTGTGAAAGCAAACCAAAATACTTCTTCCAGCTCTCCTAACTCTGCCTTTAATTTGGTAGAATATCATTGTAAGAAATACTCTGCTGATGCAAACAACGTGCGAGGTGATTGGAAGTGTGGTGCTTTACGCCGACTTCTCAGGCTCTGCTTTCAGGCATGGACACCTTTTGTTTTTTATTGTACTGGGTGACAAATTCTTAAATGGTGAAATATATTTTACATTTGTCTTTTCATTCCTACACATCCTTACCTTAAAAATATTTAGCAGGTTCCATACTGTTGTTTCAGAGACTACAGTTACTGTGTTTGACTTCCCACTCAGCTTAATAGAGGGGGGAGAAAAAAGCAAAGATTCAAGTGTGTGAGTAATTGCAGCAACTGTTTTTAATGCAGTTCTCGTATTTCAAGAGCTGCTTCTGTGAACTGAATGCAACTGTTAAGTTGTATCTTGTACCTACAACTTCTGATATGGTCTGGTAGCCCCTATGCTTTGAACTGCATTAAATACAGACTTTTGGAGGAAAATAAAGAAAAAAAATACAAAAAGGGTGTTACTACTGACTTAAAGATGATGTCCATCTGTCTGTCTATTCAGCCTTCCGTAGTCCTGTGTTTAGAAGATGTGTCTCTGGAAT